GCTACTGAGAACAGCCTGCTACCACTATGCTATAATGCACACATTTGATTCCTGAGTGAGGAACATTGCAGTAACCCATAACAGTAACCCATTGCAGTAATACATAAACTGGGTGACTAAGGTCAGTGATGTGTATGTAGCCTTCATTGTTATATCTCCATGTACTATGGGTTAGATAACGTTATGATTTACTGAACATTACAAATTCCAGAACTAGACTGAATGTGTTCTGCTGCACCCCGTATGGTATGTTGAAGCCCTGATCCCTACTATTTGGAGGAGGGGTTGGGGGAACTCAGTCTGGGATTAGTTCCTTGTAGGAACAGGAATAAATTGGAGAGCCTTTGTCTGCAGCATGTGAAGATACCAGAAGCAAGTGACTCTCTCCCAGCCAGGAGAAGACAACTATCCAGGGACAGAGTCTGCTAGTCCCTTCATCTTAAGACTTTCAGGCCTGTGCTAAATACATGTCTGTGATTTACTCTACCAGTTGTTGGTAGTTTGTTATATTACCCTGAGCAGACTCAGCACACAGTGGTGTTAATTTTTCTGTATCCTCTCAAAACATTTGAACTTTTGAATTTAGAATAATTTTTGAGAACATAGTCCCTTAAAATTATACACTTAAAAACTACACCTGAATAAAACCTATATAGTTTTGCTTACATCTAATCAATATTTAATTTGAAAATTGTGTAGTTACATTCTTTCAAGTGAATTAAATATTCATAGGTAAATATCCATTAATGTAAACATGTGGTTTTTGAGTCAAGCAGAAGGAATTTACTCTTCTAACAGAATGACCACAACTAAGTTACTTAGTTCCTTTGTGAGAAAACCTTTTATATCTGAGTAGTACTTGAAATATGCCAGGTATTATACTTGAGATAAAGATAGATGATAGATAGACATGCATTTCATTTTTTTCTGAACAATCTGTGATTTATAAATAAAAAAATGAAGCTTGGAAAATGAAATATTTTCAAATACTATAGATAAAAAATATTAGAGCTGTTATGCAAGTATAGGTTTTGCGGACTTCAAAATTCATTTTTTCTTACCTCTATTCTCTGCTACTTCCAGAGACCTCTAAATCTGGGTATGAAGATGGCATGATGGGGCTGAAGGTTTAGCTCAGCGGCATAAGTGCCTGCCTTGCAAGCAGGCAGTCGTAAGTTCGATCTCCGGTACCAATAAAAAGGGAAAAGACAAAAAAAAAAAAAAAAAAAAAAAAAAAGAAGACGGCATGCCACAATATTTGAAAATGTGTGGTGGTTGCCCTATTGCAGATGTTCAAAAATTAAGTTGAAATATGACCACTGATTTTGAATTTTCCTGATAATATTATCTATTGTAGCACAGAATCTACTTATAAAATGCTATTTTCTAATACTAGGGATTTAAATGTCAGAATGCCTCTGAATAGAAGTCCCCGGTAAATCAAAAATTTGAAAGTTACAAGAAACTTCAGATAGCATCTTCTCTAGTATTATCTAGTGTTTTATTTTACTGAGTTTTAAGAAAAATAGCTTTTATCTGATATTTTCTAATATAAAAAGATGCCAGTTGAGCTGGATAGAGGTGATTGGGTGAGTGAAGTACTCATTTTGCTGAAGGGGTCATTGAGGATGCCTGTGTTTAGAACCACTGTAGCCCACATAACAGCATTTGAAATCAGCTTTAAGGTTAGCTCCTTTCTTGTGCATGTAACGGAATTGGAGACCACGGAACAACATATCTGCTTCATTTTTGCATAGATAGTTCTTTTAAGATACATTTTCTAACTCTTAGTTCAAGGCTCTTTCTTGAACTCAGGGATACAACAGAATATCTACAGTAAAGTGCTAGTTGGTATCTGCTCATAGAATTTTTGAAGTAGTTGTACCTATATCTGGAGAATAACTGAAATAAACTCCAGTTAAGAGGTAGCTGTTGTTATATATTACTATGAAGTTTCTGATTACTGGGACTTTTCTTAACATTTGCTAAGAGTAAATTTCTAGGGGTGAAGAGTAAATACCTTATTATATAGATGCCAATTCTCCTAAAATTGGAGTAGTCTAATGAGAACTGACACAATGGCCAATCCCCTTATCCAGGACAATAGCTTGCCACAGAAGCAATTAGGTTAGGAGGGACTCTTGTCAAAAAGCTGCTCATATGAACTTTTATGAGCAACACAAAAGTCTTTTGAGTTACAAGTTTCTGTTGTTTTACTTATTCATATAGACTGTGTTTGTAATTGATACAATGAAAACTTCAGTCACATGATTATTTGATTACAATAAATTATCATTGAAATGTGTATGTATTGTAACAGAATGTCTCCTTTGCCAACCTGGGTCCCGTGACTATGAGCCTAACAAGTAGACAACAGGATGAAGGACAACTCAGTAATGAGTGAAGTAGGTTCTTAAACAATATAGGAATCCAAGCAGCAAAGTTGATAAATTCTGGAATTTTATCAACTGAGCTCAGTGACCACCTGTGGACCCCTGTTTCAGAGTCAAAACAAGTGGCCTCGATCTAGAAGATCACAGGGCATTTAAAAAGAAAACCGCAAAGCTAGACATCCTGTTGGAAACAGTTTAGCTAGAATGTTACATTAATTTTGGTTGATACCTGTATCCTGCTTATTTGTTAATTTTTTTTCTTGCAGTACAGCTCATTTGGCTTTTCTCATGAGACTTGTACCCTGAGTATTTTTCACTCTTCTGGGTCAAATACAGGTCACAATATGGCATTAGTTATGCCAAGCTACCACAATGAGGAGTAAATGCATGAAGATGTGCAAAGGACTCTTGTACCAAAATTAAACAAGAAGGCAGAGGTTACTTATGACTTTGGTATGGAAGTTTTCCATAACCCTTGCCACAGGATAGGTTTTGAACTCTCCTGGTGGCTGAGTTCAGTTCTTTCCTGACTAGAGATCTCCTGGATGACCAGTGGAGCAGCTCACAGGAAGGCTGTGGCAGCTGACTCTGTTCTAGTCTTTTGTAGGGAAGTTGGGTGAAATTTCTTCTGCATCTTCATCAAGTCAAATATGTTACTTATAAAATAACATTGTAACAACCAAGAAGGTCTGATAGGATATGCACATTGCTTTTGTGGCAAGCTATTGTCCTGGATAAGGGGATAATGGGAAGCATACTAAATATAATAATGAATTGTGTGTCTTTTTCCTAAACAATGAAAAAGCCTTATTAGTTAGTATAGTGTAGGACCTAGCCTGCAAGTTTGTACTTGACCAAGGTACGACAAGATGAAACCCAAAGAGACACAGAATGGGGCTGGGGTCCTCTTGACCTTTGACAAAGTGCCCTCGGTGACTGGCTCACCCTGCCTTTCTTCACTCAGACACGGGTACAAGCAATTACAGTAACAGAAGATTCATCTGCCTCCCACCATCCGTGGTACATGTCTGTGTGAACAACAGGATCTCAGCTGTGCTCCTTTTCCCTAGTGTGTCAGCAAGTCTGCAAGCCTCTGTCTCCTTGGCGCTCACGGAGGAGCCAGTTAGACCTTAATCTTCCTAACTGGTCTTCTACAATATAATTCATTGCGTCCCAAAATTTTAGACCATAAATAGTTGAACTTTGAAAGAGAATTTTAACCTGAGTAAAGAAATGGCTTTATGATTGGAGAAAATGCAGCATGATTTTCTTCCTACCCGTTAGTCTATTCAAAACACTATGAAATGTCTTCTACATGCCCCATCAAATACATTGGCATATGAATAATTTGGGAGATGAAAAAATGACAAAACTGACACGTTGATGGGTTAGCCACAAAATGGAAGGATGAAGCTGGAGTCTAACAAGAAAATATTTTGATTAATGTACAATGGTGTTCTTATTACAGCTATAGGAGCAATTTATACGTATAGTAAAATATTTTGTAACAGCATCTTTTTCATCTGGAGGTTTTTGGAAAATTTTAAAAAGTTGGGAGGGCACGCACAACAAGATAGTATCAAAATATACAACAACAATAGCAAACACAGCTGATATAACCATATTGGGAACAAATGCTACTGACCATTGCTTGATGCAGTTTAGTATCAAGTACAGATTAGCCCACAGCATAATCTAACAGCAGTAATGACCAGGCTGCTGTGCAGTCCTAGTACCATGTGGGCAATTAAAGTATTTGATTGATCTGGTGGGTCTTTAAATGGATGCTAGTAAATATTATTTCTGTAACTAGATAATGAATGCATCTCCCTGTATATATATAGGGATCATGTGTGTGGCATCGTCTTATTGACTCAGGAGGCCTTTCTGAAGGTGGTAGGGGATGGTGGGATGCCTTACAGCACAATCTAGAGGACAAAGTACCAGCACTGTTGCTTAAGCCTGTGCAGCTCATGTAGAATCAATACCAATGTAGTATTTTACCACCATCCTAGTGACATAATCCTATTGGCCAGAATGAGGCAGCAAGCGATAGGAAAAACACGAGTGTGAATCCAGGGATTATCATGTAGTGGAAATTTGGACTGCAAGTGGCATTTGGTTTGACACTCTGACCATTCAGTTGAGGCAGCTTACTTTTATTATGAGCAAGTAACTTACAAATTCTGGAAAAGTTACTGGGAAGTTCTGGTCCTTTTAAAGAACACAGTGATCATATTTTGCTGACAGTCTGTAAACTAGTGTACATCAGAGACAAAATAACCCTTTCTTTCCAAAACGTAAATGTAATCTGAAGGATTAATCCTCTTTCCTGAGACTTATTTGCAGCAATTTAGCATTTTCATTCAGTTGATTAAAATGTGTTATAGATAATAATTATGCCGTGGTTTTAAAGTCATTCAAACACTCAAAAATAATGTTTAAATCTTTAAAAGATCTGCTTACAGCAGATCTTTCTCAAAGGCTTTCTTTCTACTTAAGGAAAATTTGCTTAGATTGTGTCCTTCTGTCATATTTTGAGCAAATGTTAAGCCAATGCAAGATGGGTAGATATATATGGCTAAAAGTAACTTCTTTCTTTCACAGGAAGAAGAGCTAAGGAAGAGTGGGGAAGCCAAATATGCACACTTGAGTGATGAACTTCATGTTCTAATTGAAGTGTTCGCTCCACCTGGGGAAGCTTACTCACGTATGAGTCACGCATTGGAAGAGATTAAAAAGTTCCTGGTGCCTGTAAGCGTTTTTTACTTTTTATAGAGATGTTTCTCATCAGTTTTGATTTTAAAATGCACCTCCAATCTTCACTGACTTTTTAGTAAGAAACCCATATTGCAAACTAATAATGTATCTATAAAGTTGATATAAAGATGAAATGAAAACAATACAAAAATCACTTAGCGCAGTGTGTGGCATGTTGTCATATACTACTGATACATGTCTGAAGTGGACTTTTTTCCTTGTGTCTTAATCACCTGAAATGGGTATTTAGGAATTTCTAGTTAAGTTAAAAAACATTTGCAAGTATAGTGGAAGGGAAAGAGATTAGATATATAATTTATCTGTAATAAGGCTATTATATTATTTTAAATAATTGATTATATTGTATGTGATAGTATACCAGGTGCTGGCTCATTGTAAGATACTGTGTAAAATAATCAAATATAATAGAATCAAACATTTGTCAACTTCATGCAAAGTTAGAAAAATAAACTCACTGCATCTAGTGAGAAAAACAGAATGTTTGTTTAATATGACAGCAATTTTAAAGTTGCACATGGAGTAGCACTCACTGATTTTCTAAGAAATAGAGGAGCTTAAATGAGGGAAGTTTCCTAAGTGTGGACAATTTGGCATTCTAGGGGGAGGTCATTCACTTAGAAATCTTGGCATCAGGTTTGGCACTGGGATTAAATATGAGAAGGAAGTGCTGAGTAAAGTTTTCTGCATTGTCTAAGCAGAACTGTTCAGCAGAGAAAGTGAGTAGATAAAATTAATCTACAAAGTGAAGAAATTGGATATTTAAGCTAAGCAATAATGTTACAGGAAATGGGCAAGATCAATTGGCAGTGATTTTTAAAATAGGTAAAAAGAAGAAGAGAGAATTTCTGGAACATAAAAGCATCAAGATCTAGCAACATTATTTCTATGCCCAGTTTAAAATTTAATTTTTGTCAAAAGATTATAGAATAATCCCAAACTAATCTGAATATACTTAACTGCACATAGTGTTTTTGCAAAGCTATTATCTGATGCTCATCTGAAAAACTCTCTGAATAGATTTCATATTTCTTAAGGATGTGCATGATATGCATTCACTTCCTTTTCTCTTCAATGAAATGCCTAGTGCTATATTGAGTGAGTAATTTTACTATATTTAGTTCAGACCAGACATTTGGTGATATATGTAAAACAGAGGAAGGCTCAGACTGCTTAAATTTCTGGTGCATCTCATGACTGTAGTCAAGTCATTTAAATTCTCAGAGCTTCAACTTTTTCATCTTTAAAATGAAGATAATTATAATTAAATTCTATCACAATTCTTGTGAATATAAATAGGATAGTGCATATAAAGGGACTTAGAACATCACAAAGCACTATGTAAATGAATTTTTAAAATCTAATTTATTGTTACAGTAGATAGATCTAGAATGACTTCTGATGTAAAATGTATGTGACAAGACAGTATTTCATTGTAAAACTTATATCTCACTTTCTCCTCCCCTGAAGTGTGGGTGCATAAAACATGGCTGGTAATGTCCCTCTAGGCCCACACTGCATCCCAAATTATCTAGCATCATGCTTGGCATGGTATTTGACTATTGGTCTGATAGAATAGCCAAGCAAAAGGCATCAAGCCTTCTGCAAAGCAATCAAATAAATTCCTGGGTCACATTCAGAGAATAGCACCCCCAAATCAAGACACAACATATGTAGAGACCCCAGTGAAATACAGTAACTCATTGTGTCTTCTGTGAGCTTCCTTCCTATGGAGCTCTGCAATTTCATTCTGCCCTTCAAGCTGCTCCCTCATGGCTTTCTTCATCTGATGTGCAGGGGCTCACTGCTCACTAACAGCATTTGAAGATTCTTCTTCTAGATATTGACATGGCTGTGCTCTTGTCATTCAGGCATCACATCAGATGTTAGCTCTGTGGGAAATTTTTCCCCAGCCATGCAATCCAGAGTACCTTCTTCCATCACTTTCCATCATACCATCCTGTTATATTTTTGTTCACAGTTTTGCTGACCCCCCTATGTAACATATCAATAAGGTGTCGCATTATGCTCTCACCATTTTCACTTACATTTTCCGACTCATTTTCCTTAGGGTCTATCTATCTATATAAAATAAATACATGTATAAATATGTAAATGCCATGCAGGTTGCTGATGCCTGTCTCAGTATTGTATTTTGCCATCTAAGAAATTCTTTCTGCCTGATACTGTTTCCCCATTTGCTTTGTCTGCTTCAGTACCAAGCAAGGATGGTACTGTCTGCTTCACTCATCTCCAGAACTGTGAGACACAAACATTGAAGTGCCTGTTGTGTGTTTGTTTGTTTCATTATGTAAAAATCACTTGTCCAAACATACCATAGGAGGTCAATGAAATTAATTTGAACACTACCAATTATAAATCCATCTTTCAAAGAACCACTGTATTAAATTTTTTTGTGTTTGTGTATAAATTGCTTGATGAATAATGACAAAAGGGATATAAAATCCTAAGTTAATATATGCATCAATGATGTTAGCATACTTTCCTTCCATTTAGATGGAAAAGGATGTATAAAAACATTGCCATTGCATGCTGTACTATTCCTTTCTGTGGTAGTGCAGAACCGGGATGGCTACGTATGGTTTTATCGGTTGTGTTTTGATAGGGCCCCTTAGTATCCCAAATACAGTTCCCTTTTTCTAACTCAAGCCAATGGGTTACTTCAAAATAATGGCAGTGGTTTACTTCACTAAATTGGCAGACTCTTTCTTTTATTAAATTGAATTGGAAATTTTGAATAATAATAACTAAGAATTGAAATAGTACATCGTCTAATGAATAGAAATCATGAAGCATTCAGCAAAATGTTGCTCACTGAATGTGTATATATGCTGAAGAGGGAGTCTCATTGCAGCTAGGATATTAGACTTAGGTCACAGACAACAAAAAATTATCCAGTTACCTTCTCTAATAACTATAGAACTGGGAGTGTTGCTCAGTGGTAGACCACTTACCAAACACACGTAAAGTTTTGTTTGGTTTCTAGCCCACTGAAAGAAACAAAAAAAAAAAAAGATTCGAATAACTGTGCTATTTATAAAGTTAAAATTTAAAACTTTTTCATTGAACCCTGTCAGTCTCAATACAGATAATACATAACACTTTAGCATTATCAAAAGTGACGGAACTTCAAAATATTTCATCATGCCTGGTTTAAGATTTTAATGACCACCACTAAAGAGTCATATAATTTAAAGAAAAATGTATATATATATATATATATATATATATATATATTATTTATATTTTACGTAAAATTGCATGTGTGTCCTTTACTAGTTTCATCTGCAAGACTTTAAAGTCAATTCAGCACAGAGAAAAATACACATAAGTGTAAGTCCCTTCTTTCCTTCATTAGATTGGACATGTGTCTTGTTGATAGCCATAATTCTTGAAGTAGCATGGTTGAGGACATTATTTCTCTATATTACTTTTCTTACTTCTGGAAAAAAATATCCAGCACCCAAAGTTAGAGGAGAGAAGCTTTATTTAGCTCACAATTTGTAAAGGTTTCAACTCATACTTGGCTGGCTCCAAGGCAAGATGCCATAGCAGAGGGTCATCACAGAGAAAAGCCCTTCATGGCATATAGAAGACAGAAAAACAAACAACGAGCCACAAATGACAATAGCAGCTTCTTTTAGCCCCTTTTATACGCTAGTTAGGATACTTGGCTAAGTGGAAGTGCCAAACCAATTATTGAACTACTTCAGTAATCACAAACCCTTTATCCCAACATCACACATTCTAGACCCGGCCACCTCTGAAGAAGCTCCACCTATGACTGCATGAGGCTTTGGGGAGACATCCAGACATATTCCATAACATTCCCTTCTAAGATCTTAGAAATCCATGTAGAAAACCTAAGAGTTTACTATGAAGGGAAAGTAAAATCCTTTTCTTCTTTATGGTAAAAGGACTTGGAGAACATTCTTTCTTTCCATTCTTCAAAAACTGTAACTGTACCTCTGAAACAGGAAAATGTGAATAATGATCATGCAGGAAAGTAGCTAGATGTAAAGAAAATACAAAAGAAAGTACATATTTTCAGTCTAGAAGATAAAGAGAGATCTAGACTTTAAGGCTGAAATTTTTTAATAAAATTTTGGAAGATTTTCTTAGTTACTTTTCTCATTGCTGAGACAAAATACTCAATTCAGAGTTAAAGGAAGAAAGTTTTATTTAACTCAAAGTCTAGAGGTTTCATTGCATACTTGGCTGGCTCCAAGGCAGGGTGGCATGGCAGAAAGACATTTCAGGGGAGAATCTGTTTATGGCAGGCAGAAGGCAGGAGGGAAACAAAGCAACAAATAGTGACAACAGCAGCCTGCTTCAGACCCTTATATTCCATCCAGGCTGCCCGCCCAAGACAAGGCATTCTCAATCCTAGTGTTGCACCATGAATCATTCCTAGCACCATATCCACAATCTCTGTATCATGCCCTGTAGATCCAGCAACCTCAGAAAAGCTCATCCTGTGACCAGATGAGGCTTTGTGGGACACGCAGTTTCAAGCCATGACGCCAATCAATATAAAAAGCAACCCATATGCCCATCAATAGAGGAAGGGAGAAAGAAAATGTGTTTGTAAAAAGTAGAGTATTTCTCTGCCATAAAAAAAGATAAACTTGAGTCATTTTTTAGGAAAAGGGGTGCACCTTGAGACAATAATATTAAGTAAAGTAAATCAGACACAAGTTTAAACACACCATGATTTCTGTTACATGAGAAACCCAAATTATAAATAAGAGCAAATCAAAGATCACTGATTAGAACAAAGGGGATACATCTTTCTGAGATGCAATGGGGATCAAGACATGAGGGGAGGGAAAGAGAATGACAATCGAATGAAACCGCCTGTACATGTACCAACTCCACACAGAGAAGGTAGACATTATGTACTGCAAACTTGTACCGATAAAGGCTGTATCCCTGAAACTCATACTTGATAAAAA